GATGAAAATAATGTTACTAGATATACGCTAAAGTACCAATTCAAATTTCATCATGAAAGTTGCATGGCCCTTGGCGACTACTGTATATATTGGCTTATTATAACAATTTTGCCTACTGTTTCCTGTTTGTGTTCGCTATATTGCTTTTATGTTCTCTCCTTCCCCCCTTGATTCCCCAGGCATAAAAAACCCTACTACCACCGGTCCCGTAAGACAATTCTGGGGCTGTCTAACGTGCGTGACTAAACCGTTCCTCACGTTGACTTCTCATCCGCGTTCTCTTTGCTTATTCTAGACCCTTGTGGCCGACAAAACCGTGGCGGCGGTCACCGATACCTGTGACTCACACCCCAAAGATGACACCCCGAGGTCTTCCAAACCGCGAGCATCGGTCGATTGGGAGGCCTGTGTTCGTCGCGTAATGGCTGAACCGGAGTACCTTGTCGTCTGTTGTTGGCGCTCAGTCCGCGAGCTGTCCGCTATCCTTGGCGGCCCACTGATCCGCTGCGGCTGTCATCTGTCGCGTTCAAAGTTCGAACAGGTGTCTGCCTCACAGTGGCTTACTGTGCACCATGTAGGTTTTATTCAGACATGCTAGTCCTCAGAAATTAAAGTGGCAACTTAGATTGAATCTAATGAGGTTGGTTAAGTTTATTGAGGGAAATAAGCCCGCAGCCTGAGTAGCCGACTTGCAACGTAAAATTTGGTGCACTATATTGACAAACTATGCGGGCTATAAAAGTTCGAAGGAACCATACAAATACGACAACTTGGGCGTAAGTAACAAGAGTTGAGTGCAGTCTCTAATCGCTCTGGCTCGTTCTTGAGCATACATATGCCAAGGCTCTTTCTAAATCTTCCCATCGATTCTGACATGCAAACATCTACTAGGAGAGCATTCCGCGATTTGACCATCCTTAGACAGAGGTGAATTTGTGCACATACAACCTTGCCTACCGAACGTGCTCTATCCTTCAGAAGGAAGCTTTACAGGCCTAGTCCAAAAGTTGATGTGTATAGTAGAACCGAAATCTACTAGCGTAAGCAAGATGACCGCGTAAGATGCTTAAACTGTCATTAGACCGCTTATAGTGAATGCATGTCACAAGATTAAATCTGCTGACAGTGCTGATAATTGAAAAGAAGCAGGTACTACCTGAGTTGCCCTTCTCCGGTTGCTGTACTCCATCTTTATACTGAGCTTCTGATGTCGCGAAGGAGAGCAACAATTAAGTAACCGTAACACTTTCTACCCCGACTCTTGGCCAAGTCTGTATACAATCCATTTAATACAGCACTCCCCCAATCTTTCCTCTTTCAGCTCCAAGATATCGCGGACTTCTTCATTAGTCAGTTGATGATGTCAAGGCACCCCGGCGCGTTCGAACTGACAGCTTCTGGGTTTGAAAACTTTTGTGACATCCTTCTGAGGTCAGTTGCATGCCTGCCACAAGCTAGTATACCCCTGAACAACTAAGGTTTTTCTTAAAGGTATCTTCTTGCTTCACTCTAATCTCCCTCCGCCATTTTAGTCTGCCTAAACTGCAAGTTGAAAAGTGGCCAGAGCGATGGCTATCTATCATGGTCGCTGATTTGACCGGAGTTGAGGTCCTGCCTCCGCCTGTATGTCCTACTACACCAACCGGTTCGACTTCGCTCGAGAGTTCTGCAGACTCGGACGCAGTTCTTTTGCGCTACCTTGGCAATAATTCATCTAAGATTTACTGTGCAACACGGCGATCTGCCGGGCTCCCATTTTTTATACAGGTGAGGATCTCATTTAATAACACTATGTACCTTTTGTTCGAGTTTGCCACCGAGGAGAGCTCTGTTCTCCCGTTTATCTATTTTCAATTCAACTTTAATCTCTCTGTCACGATTCTTTGTCTTATAGGCGCTGCTTGTGGTCCTTCACAAGGCGCACAAGGCCCCTAACCTGCTTTCCACCGTCGTTTCTGCCCTTTTGACAGTCGTACAATGTAGTTCTGAGTCGAATATTCAGAAGACGGGTATCTCGAGCTCCAGTGCCACTCTCTCCGCAGCCGAGGTCAGTTTAAGCGCATCATCTCATTTTTGGTTGGACGCGAAAATAGGGACCCCCTCTTTCTACCTGTGATCACGCAGTTAATCCCAATTTTTTTCATCTTCCATATTATACCTTTAAATTTAACTCTACGCCCTAAAATGTAGCTAAAAATACACCTTTCAAGGAAAGGCGTCCCTTCCCAAGGGATGCCTTTCCTTGAAATTACATTTCTTGGGATGCCGCCCTTCCACAAAATACACATTCAAAGCGTTTCGGGAGAGAGCCTATGTTCCCATGCCTTGCTTCATATTCTTCCAAACTCTTTTCGTATGAGTACGGGTAATCTATTTGGCACGCTCCCTACTAACTTAATGTAGTTGCCGTGTATTTCGGTAAAAAGATATATAATGTCGTAGATAGAGGTGGTTCCGCTTCTCGATCCGTCGCTTGGTCGTTCTTTTCCCTAGTAAATACCTTGACTTCGCATTTTCGCTTTCATTGAGTGCGACACTTTTGCTTTGATGTGCATATATCTGCTTATGGTAATCCACCTGTCTTTTCTCTAGCGGCGTCTTCATGCTACTAACGTGCTCCGCTTCCTCGTTCGCGACGCAACTGTCGGTCCAAATCTTTCGGATTATCTTGAAGCAATTTTGAAGTGTGCCATTCAGGGACTGGACTCATCGATCTGGATGGTGAGAGAAACATTCCCCACTTTCTTCTTCTTCTTCTTCACATACTGGACACTCTTGAACTTAATTCTATTGTTGATGAAGTGAAGTCATTGATGCGGAAGTTTTTTGCGGATATTTTTGCTACTTATTTTGGCTAAGGCCGCGAGAGAGGTAGATTTGAGTATTTTTGACACAGTAGGTGACGACGTACAGCGAACTGCGGCGTTCGCAACACTTCGTTGCTTTTATATTCATAAAACACCGTGTAAGATCTGATCTAGGCCTTCAGTCCTCCTAACCTCCACACTAACACAATCTGATAGCTCGTATTATTATGCGTTTGTACTACCATACGCCGACCCTCGCTCCGCGAAAAATCAGTATCCCAATCTGTTACTGAATTAAGTAGCAACCTATGGGGTTGCATCCTTCGGATACCTTAAAGGTCAAACCGAACATTCAAACTTCCTGGCTAACCGACGACGACATACTACTCCCTTGATTTCGATAGACCTTTTATTTACATCAAAGTTTGTTAAGGTAAAAATTTCATAATGCAAATCCAGTGAACGTGTTATACGTTGTTATATCGCAAATGCTTTGCATTTTTTACTATATTATGGTATTCCAACGTAGGCAGGCAACTCTAGAATAGCTATTTCTGGCTTATTGGCCGTCATCAGCTAGAGGTAGTCAACTCTAGTGTAGCCGATGAAATGTCTGCCACACTCGAGTTTCGAACTCACATCTCGCCGGTCAGGGGCAAACGCTCTAACTATTGAGCTACGAGTCCGCTACCTTGCCGGTTGTTGACTTGACGTTCTACGTGACGTCGCATTTTTTACCGTTTTGCCCACACAACGTTTCCGTACGTTTTCTTATAGATCCGCAACTCCTCCCTCATGCTGTATAGCACCATGATGGAGCGCATTTTTGGTGTGAATCGCACGCGTGACTGCGAGAGCAAAAAGAACAGGTGCGTGTTTCTCCTTACCCTACAGCGTGAATAACAGTTTCTACGGAATCCGCATTCATCCATCTCCTCATCACAACCTGCCGAATGACGGAAAATAGTGCACTATAGGCTGTCCCAAAATTATTTGCACCTTTTAAATGTTGCAAAATCCATTGGTAAACCAAGGCAAAGCACAAGGAAAGTCGCATAGAAATGAATGCTAACGATCTGCATGGCTCTAAGTCCAGTGTGCACCAGTATTTGCATGAAAGTTTTGGTGTTACTGCTTATCACAGAAGGAAAATCCTTGGACTAACAGAAAAACAAATCAAGGATAGGACGATCTTCTGCAAGATTGCCAGGAGATGGACTGTAGGCGACTGGAAACAAGTCTTCTTCTCCGATTAATTGCCTTCTGAACTGTTCCATCCGCGAAACACGAAATATGACGTTATTTGGGCTCCAAATCGTAACATGTTTGAGAATATTGAAGTTATAAAGTTAAGCTCTACAGTCATGGTGTGGTGAACAATGTCCTTTGGAGAGCTGTCTGACCTCCACATTATATAACAGAGTCAACGAGTTTATGGTGAATATTATAAATAAGAGATGCTAGAGCAAAACTTGTTTAAAAAATTGACAATAGATCGTGTGAGCAGGTCGAAGTTCGAGAAGAAACTTGTTCCGGCCAGGTCAAGGATTATTGTTATGCAGGACGGAGCCACAGCTCGTACAGCGCTGGAGACCCATTGGTTACTGTCAGAGAAAATTTCAAATTTCTGGAGGAAGGACTTATGGCCAGCAAATAGTCCTGACTTGGATCCAATTGAAAATCTATTGTCACTTCTTGGCAATTTGGTTGACGAGAAACTGCCTGCCCCTACTATTCTTACTGGATTGGAGCGATCCCTGCTAGGCCGATAGCGAAAGATCCCATGGGAGACCCTCCAAAATGTCCCTCATTCGATGCCAGGTAGGGTAGCAGCTCTCCTTAAGGTCAAAGGAAAATTTCCTGTACGGTTAATATGATGTTTATGTTACTTTAGAAGCGGTGAGTGTGCTATTAGAGTGCAAAGAAATTCGGGACACCCATTATATCTTGACTGTAAAGGCGCGGATTCAATATCCTCTCACCTTAAACGCTGTAATGATGTTGTGTCATTCTAGTTTTTAAAAAATGGCGCAAACATCTAGTTTTATGAGGCGTAGTTCAGCTAGATTACGCGTGAATTCATGCCAGCATATAGTTTTCCACGTCACCTTTAGTATGCCTTTGCTGTGATGCGTGACTGGTCTTTGTTTTTGAGTGGCCACTACGCCGGCGTCTTGTCTGTCTTCACGAACCTCTTTTGGCCTTATGGTAAAGCAGGATTTCCGCGTACTACTATAAACCAATTGGTGCTGGGCACGCATGTGCATACTACGCATGTGCAGGTCCCAAATTCCAAAATACAAACTGTTCCTCACGCAGGTTGTCTCTCTAATCGTTTATCAAAAAATGTCATCAAAAACTATTTTTAATTGAGCCATTGCGGAGCAACTCTCCATCCAGGCTACTCATCACGTCGCAAAACGACTCTTAAAATCACGGCTATTAGCGCTTCGGGACATTTCTTAGCAATAATCCCTGATCTCCCCTCACCACACGAATGAAAAAAAACTGGAACAAACAGTTCAGGTCTGTGTTCTTTGCCTACGGGTTCTATGCAGTGGACGTCGACTCGTTCCTAGTGTGTGTTTCGAAGCAATTTTTCCCCCTTTTACACCTACAGAATGTCATCCTCGGTATTCTTTGCCAAGTTCCCTGGAATGCGGACCTTCCTGCTCCAGTCGTTTGAAGAGTCCCTTCAAGGCATCCGGTATGTAGTTCGTTAAATGTTTTGCCTGCTAAGCTTCTGCGTTCCGTTGCATCAACATTTTTCTTTGGTTAACATAACATGAAACGTAACAATGTGTCTTTCTGAATATGCGTTACTTCTGTTCATCTGATTGCAATAAGTCAACCCGTTACATGTCATGTTCAGAACCTCCGAAAATTATCTAACGCTCCGAAGTACTCTACGGTTGCGGCGTTATTTTTTTGATTGCCCACTTATAATTGCTCTAAGCTTTTCCGACTCCAAACGCCCTTAGTTCTCTGCTGTGTTTCTGTCCACTTGCGAGTGGTTGCTGTCGTAATTACCCTATTATTATCGGCACCTTGCATAAACATACCGCTACTGTAAAATCTCCTTATTTTTGCATTGGTCAGCGTACATTTTTTTCTCTGCTGGTTTATTCTTTCTTCGCTGACTCGGATGTATGTCATTACCCGGAGCGTTCTGTTCGCCATATTTTGAGAATACCATCCATTTTCCTTCTTTTATAAGTACACTTCCTTTAATATTTTACTGATATGACGATGTTCATTTGGACAAGGATTCAGTTCACACATCACCACCGTAGTTTACTATATATTAATATCTATGTATTTAGCATTTACTAATTCATTTCACTCCCCACACGGAAATTATTAGTGTCCTGTTGTTACTTTTAGTTATTTTATTTTATTATTTATTGCAGTCGTTTTAATTTAGTTTTCAGGTTAGTTAATCTTAGTCTAACTAGTTTATTTTTAGTTTACTTTAAGTTTTATTAGTAACATGCTGCTGCATTTGAGATTTAAAAAGTGAAAAACGCCTATCTTTCATGGTTTACCCAAATTTCGAAGATTCGCAGTTCTTTACGCAGTTCCGCTAGCCGAGCATGTGATTCTATTATTTGTTGCATGCAAGAAGTGCAATTATGAGACTTAATTTCCTTTTTCGATATGCGTATTCTAGCTCTCCTACCATCGGTCGCAAAAAGCTATTCGCCCTCTTGAATTTGTTGACTCGATTCTTGCCACCAATCCAGTCGGCAACAAGTGATGGAGCCATCGTTCATGCCTTTTTGCCTTATGTTTTTACGTAAGTAACATCCTCACTCTATTCGCTATCTTTTTTGGGCTTTCGTCTTTTTTCCAGGTAGCCATGAGTGAAGCGACTAAAGGTTTGTTAGGAGTGGCTCATGTCGACCGTCTGATGTAGACGCGACTGAGAGTTGCGGACGCCTGACATTTTACTTGACATCGGATCGGTTCTACACATACTCTGGCTTTAACCGGCCTTCACTAATCTCTGCTAAACCCCTAGACACCGTTATCGTGATTGAAGCTGTATATGGTGGTCCGTATTGAATACGGGGCTGCCGATACCAGTCATTTTGCTACAGTTCTCTCTATGGTGACGACAACTCTCATAACCATTACCGACAAGTCTTCAGTTTTTACATGAACTCGATAATTCGTGCTCTGTTACCTCCAGAATGATTCATTCAACGTCAGACTAATAAAGCCGGCGTGGTGGCCTGCCAACTATTTCTCCTCTTCAAAACGGCTGCGTGTGGGTCGATAACATGAAGGTCCTTATTTGAGTATCTTTTTTCCTTTGGCTCAGTATCCAGTAGTACCGCGTACGTCGATCCCCAATGATAGCACACGGTACGGTACTATTAAACAACTAGTGAAGGATAAACACTGCAAAAACCTCAACAGTAGACACACGTAGTCAAAAACAACGGAGTCGGCCAAATGTCGCATGGCTGTAGACAAAGAAACAACTTATGTTTTTTTTAGTAACGCCACACGTGAGTAGGGCGAAGCCAGACCTGGGAGAGCGTGCGTGAGCGATATCGGGAGGCCGCTGCTTTTTGTGACTGAATGCCGTTCAAGTGGTGTGCGATTGGTGAGTCGCATTGCCCGCATACAAAGGCCCATGCTGCGTTGGCCGAGGTGTGGCGCGTTCAGATGGCCCTTTTGTAACCGCGACAAGCAGGTGTGTTCGAAGGAAAATCCGTCATGGGTCTTCAGGTCAGCGAGTCGCAAACAACTGCCTGTGCGAAGTAGCCTGACGTTTAGGCAGAGAACTTTGATTGAGGGGGCAGCATTGTTTGATATCCGCTACAAAGTCGGTCACGGGTCTTCAACCCAGCGAGTCGGAACAGCTGCCTGTTTAAGCAGCGGGCATTAAACAACGGGTGGGCAGTATCGTTGAGGAAAAGAGATTGAACAAAGGGGCCGGCATCATTGTTGGGAGAAGGGAACAATCGCATGTAGGTCAGACAGAATTATACTGGATGTTTACGTGCAGAATTCCAAAAATTGTTCAGCCGAAGGTAACAGTCCTAAAACCACAAGTCAAGAACGGCTGATTTATCAGCCGAGCTTTTGCTAAGACAGAAAGCCTTCATGCAGCACAACAGGCCGTTGCAACAACCGTTCTCTTCACTCTTATGAAAGCCGCTGCGGTTATTAGCCTTCGACACATGCTTGCGCCTAGACCTTGTTCGTCTGCAGCCAAGCCGCAAAGAGCGTAATACTGGTTGGCGTCGAGTCCCCACCGCACTTTTATCATACCTCACGCGACCCGAGCCATCGATTGTTAAGGGGTATTTGGCAAGCTA